TGGGGTGCGAGCAGCGAGCGGACGGACGGACCAGCCATTTAAATCAATTCAATTATGAATGCAATTGAATTAATTTAATGATGTACAATTCACTTTGGGCAAGGAAGGAGCCACGCCGGCACCCACACCGATGACAGCAATAATATTCAATTTTTATTATGCAATTGCAGTTAATTAATAATTCAATAAATATCTGCACAAAACCACTTGAAAGTATTTTCAAATAATTGTCATCAAATGTACATATGTGTGTGTGTTTGTGTGTGGTGTGTGTGTGTGTGTTGTGATCAATTATGCTGCTTATCAACGAGAACAAACCAAAGAATGAGGCCATTTGAAGAGTGTGTTAATTGCCGAGTGAAGTGCGGTAAGAATTTTTAATTGAAATTGGTTTTAATTTATATAAATATAAATCCTAATCACTTCAGGCTGAAAGTTACTCGCCACAACACTGAATGTTGGAATGAATGAATGAATGTTCCCCAATCAAACCTTTTGCAGCGTAAAGTTCGCTTGAGCCAGCAAACATCGCGATGGTTCGGTTTCTATTCGATCGGTTTGATCGTACTGCAAATTATACTGGCCAAAGTATGCTGGCATTGCCCTGTAAGCAACTCGATCGAACATGTTGCGGGCCTAGCGTGGTATATTGAGCAAAGGTTCGATCAGCTCTCAGATTTGTAGGCCATGCAGAGAGAGAGGAGAGAGAAGTAGCAAGAGCCCCCAGAGCTTTGAGAGTCAGCTGTCAGCTATAGCTGTAGGAAAGTGTAACCCTCCCTTCCTGCTACCAATTACATTTTACAATCTTTAAAACAACTCCCAAAACTTAACTCATAATCCCATTGCCTAAGCGCCTGGCTCCCAATGGATAATTTAATGCCACGCAAAACTAAAACTCCAAACCAAATGACTTGCAGTGAAACGACTGCGGCTAAAGCAGAACATAAATTGCCTGTCAGACTGCCTGTCGAGAGTTCTAAGCGAAGCGAAAGATAGAGACAGAGAGAGAGAGTGATACGTGGCTCGGTTTACGATTGTTAGTTTTATTATGCCACACGTTTGCCATTTCCATCATCATCATCATCATCATCATCAGCATCATCAACTGAGCTGCTGAGCTGCTGAGATACTCAGAAACTTTGATGGATTTGTCTTTGGCCTCGAATGTGGGCACGAGTATTATTATTATGTTAATAGTCTCCAAGAGCTGCTTGGGCTGGCCTTTGAATTAGACTGCAAAAATTATTTCCTGTAGCGTGCGTTGCATTAAAATTTATCCACTGAATGTCTCACAGACAGAACTTTTCTCTCTTGTTTGCATATATTTAAATTGATTGTTAAGGGCTGAGGGCTGTGGGCTGCAAGGGTGGCGGATGGTGGTGTGTGTGGGCAAATCGCTTCTCGTAAAGTTCGTCTTGGCTCAATTATGACTTTTAGCAGGGATTGGCAGTGGAGTGGCCTCATCTGGAGTTGCAGCCGCAGTCTTTTACGACAGCCATACACATAAAACCCTACACAGGCCGCAGTGCAATCGTAAATTTTAATGCCCAGCAAATCAAATTAGTCGAATAAATTAGACCAAAAACCCACACAGGAAAGCACAAAGGAGCTATTTTAAGAACAGATAATAAAACCTGTACTCAGACAATATTTTCGCGGTGCTGCAAGTATTTGTATTTATATATTATTTTAGCTTAAATGAAAATCTCCAGGGAAATTGGGAAATGGACTAACATTAGCAGATCTTTTACACTAATAATTTTGATTCAAATAGGTTTCACAAATAATCTGCAGCGGCGTGAATTTGTTTGATTTTGTGATCTTTTTTTACGTGGAAAAAAAATCTTTTATGGTCTCAGGTCAGATTACGTTTATTCAGTCAGATTTCATAATGACTCATAATGATTCAATTATAATTATCAATTTTAGTCTAATAAAATTATGAACTGGTATGAAATATTCCAAGAAATCTGATAACAACTATCGCTGCTCCTCTCTCTCTGCTGCCCCTATATAAGTAGAAGCCTCGAAACTTCAATTAATTATTTAGTTTATATTTTAAAATATATTTCAGCAGCTAACTGCAGTTTTCGCCGTGATGCCAGCAGCCATTGCTCTGGTGAATGGCGCTTACAGGATTACGCGCCCCCCGGCCCCCCCCCCCCCCCGCCCCCCCCCCCTGGCCCCCAAAACAACATTCGGGCCCCCCCCCCCCACACACCCACAAATCTGCTTACCCTTTCCTGTTTTTGGGCAACAAAAAGGATATCCACTTGATAGTTTTCCAATTTTTTAATGGCAGAAAATAAGTGGCCAACATGCAAAAGGCAGCGAATATATTTGTATGAAAAACATTTTTGGCTACTCCGAATTTAACTTATGATCGATGACCAAATGGGGGATAAATGGATATCCCATATATCCATATATAAGGAGCTTGAACCAATTTAATGCTACATATTGGATCATCCTATTGCTACACATAACAACGATCAAACCCTGCAGCTGCTCTGCTATTTATTATTTTATTTTTTTAAATATTTTTTCAATTAAATCAACAATTCAACAATTTATAATTATTATTATATATTATTATTTATTATTATTTTATTATTATTATATTATTATTATATATTATTATATTATATTATTATAATTCTAGAGATTATGCATCTATGCAGGGTATATCTTAAATGCTTCCTTTTCGTACAACTATGACAAAAAGTCAGCCGGGGAAAAGCGGCTGGGCTTGGTTACCGTTGCAGCAGCAGCAGCAGCACAATGTACGCTGGAAAGGGTGAGGAGGAGGACAACAACAGCAACAGCAGCAACAAAACAACATAATTAAATTTTCGTGTGTGCAGTAGAACGAAAGAACGAACTTGGGGATGCTCCACAAAAGACTCGAAACAGGGAGGGACTGAAAGGAAGGGCCCAAACTATGAGCGAAAAGGACAAGAAAGGAAAGAAAAGAAAAGCGACGCTCAAAAGATTGACGCTCAAAATCATGAAATATTGCACACAGTTGAAGTGATTTTTATGAACTCTTCAAAAGTAGCTCTCGAAACGAAAGAGGGAGAGGGAGAGAGCGACAGACAGAAAGAGAGAGAGAGATAGAATGGTTTGACAAATGGGGGGTGAGTGGGAGGGATTGCCAGCATAAAGGACTTTATTCCCACCGCTACGCTAACGAGCTTAAAGAGCGCACTGGAAATTGCACCCAAGACAGCCATTGAGGAATCCCCCTCCACCCAGGTGCTATCCTTCAGGATTTCTATGTGCAAGTAGTAGTAGGCCAAGCAGGCCAAGCAGGCCAAGGTGTCCTTTGCTGCTGGTCAAGAGCGGATCAGTTTCAAGTAGCACAAAGACATCTAGTTAATTTTTGGGGTATACAAAAATATATTGAAAAATTCTTCTAAAATGGAATAATTTAATTAATTTTTGGGGTGTACAAAAAATTATTTAAAAATTCTACTAAAATGGAATAATCTAATTAATTTTTGGGCTTTACAAAAAAATATTGAAAAATGCCTCAAAAATGGAATAATCTAATTAATTTTTGGGATGTACAAAAAAAATATTTCAAAATCTACTAAAATGGAATAAACATTTACCGAGTTTAAAAACCCTAGAGATATTTTGTAAAAATATTTTCTGCTTAAATTTGTACTAAAAAGCGTTCGAAAATTGTCAGAAAGCTGCCACCTGAGCGGCAGGAAACAATTGTTAAAGGGATATCCCACAAAGGAAAATATAGCTATAGATGGTAGTGGATGGTGGGGGGCTGGGGGATGTAAAAACTTTGCTCCAGACATTGTGTTGAGTAATTCTTTTGTAATGCGGAAGGAAGCTGCAGCTTCGCTCCGCCAGAAAAACAACAGCACAGCGATTTTGCTCAGTTGAAGGGTATATGCAGGGGGGGGTTTGGGTTTTCTGCTGGCCATGGGGTTCTGGGGTATCGTAAGAAAAAAAACTTTAAGACAAAGCGCATAACTGACCTACGTTCGGTTGGGGGGGTTCGGCAAAAGGGGTACAGGGGTACGTACAGGGGGTATCCAAGATAAATTGCTGCAGTGTTTAGTTAATACTTTTGACCGTCTTATGGCTTGGCCTTTAGTCTGCTGCTGCCGCTGCTGCTGCTGGAATCCCTTGGAAAAGGACTACGGACAACAAGGAACTGGCAGCTGGCTGGACAAGTTTATCTTTTGTTACATTGACTTCCGCTAAAAAGATGCTAAAAAACTAGAAAACATCTTCAGGCGGCCCCCAAGCCCCCCACTATCTCTCTCTCACTCTGTGCTCCTCTCTTCCTGCTTCGCTATCTACTCCTCTCTTTGTGCCCCTCACTCTCTCCGCCTCTTCTGCCTTTTCTATATTTTACTTTTCGCAACTCTTTTCTTTTTTCTTTGCTTTTGTTGGCTTACATTTCTTCGCAGGTTTTCGCATTGAGGAGAGCGAGAGCTAGGGAGAGAGAGAGGGGAAGAGAGCTAAGGGCAAAACAGGAAAAGTTAAACACAAATTAAAACGCAAACACTGACAGAAATCGCATAGATATTCGCATAGATTATCTGCGCAAAAATATTAAAAATAATGGTAAAAAATAAAATTAATTTTAAATAAAATAATATAATAAAATAAATCATAAAATAAATCGTAAAATAAATAATATAATAAATAATAAAATAATATAATTAAATAAGTCATAAAATAAATAATAAGATAAATAATAAAATAAATCATAAAATAAATAATAAAATAAATAATAAAATAAATAATAAAATAAACGTGAAAATAAATAATAAAATAAATCGTAAAATAAATAATATAATAAATAATAAAATAATATAATTAAATAAGTCATAAAATAAATAATAAGATAAATCATAAAATAAATAATAAAATAAATAACAAAATAAATAATAAAATAAATTTTAAAACATTTTTGTGAAGTACGCCATTTATTTTTTTTTTTTTTTGATTTAGTTTATAATACAAATCTAGTTAGTCTCCAGGCAACTCTCGTAGTAAATAAAATATATATTTACTAGTTATAAACTCTTAACAAAAAAAATGGATACAATTGATTTTGTTCTAAAAAAATTATCGCTGCGCCGCATTGATCATCCGCCGATCCTGACACGTGGCCAAATCATCTCAATCGCCTTGAAGGCGAGCCTCATGCTCATAAGCGGATACCTGCTGGTGGCTGGGGCCAACTGCCTCATCGACAACTGCCATTTGTTTGACAATAATCACAGCAAGGCCAAGAAGCTGGCCCAGAAGCAGCTGAAAAAAACTGAACGAAAGCCTAAAGAAATCGGGTGGACGGCAGCTGAAATTTGGTGACTTGAGCGATCAGGAGCTGATCATAGCCGCTGGTCTGGTCACACCGGAGGACATCAAAGTCCAGTGGAGCGATATAGCCGGCCTCGATGGCATTGTTCAGGAGCTGCGCGAGACGGTGGTGCTGCCCGTGCAGCATCGGGAGCTGTTCAAGGTATCGCCTCTGTGGCGTGCGCCCATGGGCGTGCTGCTCCATGGCCCGCCCGGCTGTGGCAAGACGCTGATTGCCAAGGCCATGGCCAAGGAGGCGGGCATGCGGTTCATCAATCTGGATGTGGCCACGCTGACGGACAAGTGGTATGGCGAGACGCAGAAGCTGGCCGCCGCCGTCTTCTCGCTGGCCAAGAAACTGGAACCGTCCATCATATTCATCGATGAGATCGACTCGCTGTTGCGGGCACGCGGCCACAACGATCACGAGGCCACGGCCATGATGAAGACACAGTTTATGCGACTCTGGGATGGCCTGATCACCGCCGGCAACTCCGCTGTCATAGTGCTGGGCGCTACCAATCGGCCCGAGGATCTGGACAGGGCCATTCTGCGACGCATGCCAGCAAAATTTCACATTGGCATGCCCGACATCGGCCAGCGCCAGCAGTTGCTGCGCCTCATCCTAAAGGACGAACAGCTGCAGGCATCGGTGGACCTGGCCGAGCTGGCCGCACAAACGGATGGCTTCTCGGGCTACGATTTGAAGGAGCTGTGCCGGCACGCCTGCATGCATCGCATGCGTCAATTTATGCGCGAAACTCTGCTGACTGATGGCAGCAAAACGCTCGAATTGAGTGCTGCGAATGAGGAGAGCTTCAAGGACTGCCTGGACGTGCAGCTGCACATGGAGGATCTGCTCGAATCGCTGAGTGTGATGCAGAAATCGCGATGCACATCGTCCAACAAGTTCACCAAGGCCCAGGCCGCTAGGGCCAAAAGACGTTGATTTCAATCAATTTTGTAGAAATTTTAAAAGTTGCCAATAAATAAAATAAATAAAATAAAATTAAAATAAAAATAAAATAAATCAAATAAATAAATATTTTTCTTTATAATTTTCTCTTGGTGCTGCGTAACATTTAGGCTGCTGCTATACACCTACTTAAGCCCCCTTGAACTGGCCAATAGTTTTCACATTTCATGCCATGCATGCAGCCGCAAGGTTGCAAGGCGCAGTGGGAGGGCGCCTGCAAAAGGACAACAGCAGCAGCAGCAGCAGCAACAAAAAAATCTTTTATGTAAAATTGAATATTCATAAGTTGTTCCACAGTAGCAGCAGCAGCAGAGGCAGTGGCTGTGGCAGTGGCAGTGGCAGCCTAACTGGCAGGCCGCTCTCTCTCTCTCCCACAGCCTCTGCCACGTTAGCAGCTCATCTTGTTGTGGCATTGGATGGGCCAGTTGATTGTTATACCCTGTAGGCGGCAGCGCAAGCTGGGAATATTGTTTCTGAATATTAAAATAGATCCATGTACATTTCTAGCTCGCCTAAACCGTTTCTCTAGAATCTTTCTCTTACTCCTGCCTAGCCAAATAAAAGACAATATAAGAATAAAATACTCTCGAAAATTCTTCTGCTTCTTAGCAGCAAAAAAAAAAGCCATCCAAGTACCCAGGGTAGGGTTGCCCATGGTTCTGAATATTCGACACGTTTTTAACATTTCTACTTGTTTTTGTGTGTAGTTTTGTTTGGCTGAGTGAACCTGCAGACGCTTCCACACACATGCACTCCCGCACACACACACACTGCCACACAGATACACGTAAAAGCTGCCGTTGTTTGCTATTTTGTCATGCAAATTGTATTTATTGCGGCGAAAAACCAACAACAACAACAGCAGCAAGCACGAGCAGCAGGCAGAAGGAGACAACGACAACGACAACGACAACACGCCTGCGACGTTGTAATTGTTTGTTATTTGTCATTGTGTGTGTGCGTGCGTGTGTGTGTTTGTGTGTGTGTGTTTGTGTGTGTGTGCTCCATTGCACATGGGAAATTGACCACTTTTTGTGGCATAATTAATAACCAAACGAAACAATATTTTTGGTTTAGTTTTGATATGAGTTATAATTGAAAAATGAAGGTATTGAAAAGGCGTGCAACCCTTTATAAAGAACCATTTATTGCAAAAAGTAAAAAAACAAAAATGGGACTGGAAACCATTATAAGGCGTGGCACCCAAAAACAATAAAAAAATGAAAATATTATCGGACCACAAAAATTAATCAGAAGACCAAATATGAAAGAACCAATATGAAATAATAGCCTCACCCTGAACCCAGGAGGGACCCCACACCACGGACGAAACCAGCCAGCTCATCGAAACTAATCTGCTCCAGTGGATCTCTGCTGAACGAATGAACTCGCTTTGTAAAAGAACGAACACCTCAGTTGGAATGAGATTATTTTGCTTTTTTATGCTCCTCAAGGTTAATCGATGAGATAATAGTATCTGAAGTGTGGAACCGTCCGTGAAATTTCTTTCGGCCTCATTTAAATCTAAAATTTATAAATTTTATTCGAAACTGGCACTCTCCTGCAAAATATCCCACAGGTAGAATCTGTTTCTTTATATCGCTTGAATTCACTAATATTTTGAGCACTGTAGCAGTCATTGACAACCAGGGATATGGTCAATATCACTACCGACAAATCGAACTTTTCTTGGTATTTTTGTGATGCCAGAGGTAGCCTAGCACATTACTTAAGTATCTTACATATGGTTGCAATGAACTGAAATTCTGAAAAGCTGATAAATGCATCTAAAAGCAGACCTGAGCACCTGTAGCTCAGCTCCGTCTGGAAAATATAAGCAATGCAAAATTGATCGGTTTTGCTCAGAACTTTTTCAAAATTTTGACTAAAAACAAGAAAACCGAAAACAAATCGATCCTTTGCTCATATTTTTTGTGTGTAGATGCATCAATTAAGCGGATCAAACATTGTTCATAAAAATCGATGAGAAATGACTCAACTAAAATGGTGACCAACCCTCCAAAAATCACATTTAACCGTTTCAAATGTTGCTGCAGTCCTATGTTTTTGTCTAAAAAATTGCAAAGAAGACGCGACGAGGCGCGGATTACCACTATAAACTTTGAACCGAATTGAATTCCTACAGTGCATTCATCCTATCTTCCAAGAAACTCACTTGTACGCCCTCAAAGCACTGTCACAAATTTAGACTTGTTAAAAATGAGTCATTAAACATAATTATGAGCACCATTTAACAGTCAAACCATAAACATATATTACATACCTGTCTGAATCGAACCCATTGTAAAGAAATCAATTAAATTAATGAATTTATAACTTTTAGCACTTTATAAGCAAAAAACAAATTGTCCACCAACTTGGCCTATCGATAGCAAACAGCTGACTTAACAGCTGTTAATTTACCAGTGGCGCGCGCTGTTAACTTTTTTTGCATAACATTAAAGATCAATGTTATTCGGATATATCAGGTCAACAAATATATTATTTTAACTACTTTCGAAAAATGAGTTTTGGCCAGAAAAAGTGGTCAAAGTTCCCATAGTGCATTGTAAACAAGAAAATTGACTGCCGTCGGCGGCATGGAAACTTGGGCTGAAAAGCATTTCTATGCAACGATGCAACGGCAGGCAGACACACAGACTCACACATCCTGTGTCCGCTAGCCAAGAATAACCCCACTCAAAATATACCAGACACGAAAAAAAAAACAAAATAAAAAATAAAAACAAAAAATACTGAAAGATTTGCAGCACCCATAGGGGCGCCTCTTCTCTTTGCAACTTGTAGAAATTAATCGGCTGACAAAATTATAGCGAATAACAAATAAAATTTATGGGGAAAAGTACTTCAGTTTTAACCGTTTGATATGCAGATTTTTTGTTGGCTGAAATACTTAATTTTAATTTTACAAATAAATAGCTGAGATCTCTAGTAGAATCAGATAACAAAATTATCATTAAGAACAATTAAATTGCTTTGCCAAAAGGTCTTCAATTATTTTCCGTTTGATATTTCAATTTACTTTTAACTGTAATTTAATTTTAATTTTAGAAATAAATAGTTTAGATCGCGCTGTAGTATTTAATCAGATGACAAGAATCAGAATAAGAATAAAATTTATGGGTAAAATGAACAAATTCATATTTTATTTTTTTTATATTTATTTATTTTCATTATTTTATTTTTATTATATTTATTTATTTATTTTATTATATTTATTTATTTTATTTTATTTTTTTTAGCTATAATTAAATTTTAATTTAAAAAATAAATATCTTAAAAATCATAAAAATTTCATTTGCTAAGTATGTATGTTTATTTCTATATCTTGAATTTGATTAGCATATAACTATAACTTGAAAAACCTGCCCTACCCCTACCTCACCCCCTCCCCTACCCCAAGCCGCGTTGTTAATTAACCCAAAATTTAATTCATAATTCTTCGTTCGTTTACGACCCTTAATCTTTGTGTGACTTTGCCCGCAATGGGAGCAGCGGGCACTCTTTTCTTTTGAATCCTAGCCTTGATCATGCCAAACAGCGTGTCCAAATGCGGCGCCATATAATAGTCCAATCTGACATGATCCTCGATTTGGTGCAGCAGCAGCAGACAGTGATCACAGTCGCCCGCGTTGAAGGTGCTCAACAGGGACAAGACCTGCGGCGACAGCTCAAAGAATGGCCGAAAACCCTCCGAATTGATGACGCCCAGCTCCAGCATCTCCGGATCCAGTGTGGCCAAAGCACAGAGCCCCGCATAGTAGCTAACATCCTCGGGTGCCACAATATTATCAAAGTCATAACGATCGAACGGTGTCAGCAGGAAGCAATGCGCTGCCGTTTTGTAGATTTTCAGGCCCATGTTGGCCAGCCCGGCGGCACAGTTCAGACGCGGCGGCACCTTTTCGGCGAGATTCTCAAAGCCAAAGGCATACTTCTTGGCATCCTCGATGTAGGTGAGCACATGCCACCAATTTGCCATGTAAATGGACACCCTAATCAGATTGCGAAACATATTGATGACATTATCGCTGCTGGTGCAATACTGCCTGGCCCTCGCATAGTACTTCACGGCCATCTTCAGGTTATGGCTCTTCAGATGATAGTCGCCGATCTCCTCCAGTACGCGCCTCACTTTGGCGCTGCCCGAATTCGCCTTCTTATAGTTCAGCTCTGCATCGAGCTCCTGCTGCAGCAGCGTCGACTCCATGGTGTTATCCTCCACCCAGAAGGCATCGTACGGTACAGGCCCTTGCTTGATATATCCCGCATCCGATCTCTTGCCCGCCGTGTCCTTTGATGTGCTGGCGGCGGCGGCTGCCGCTTCACCCTTTGGCATGCCCATCTGTGCCTCCTTTTTGTCAATGGCCGCGCACAGGGTCTTGTAGAGCTCGTCGTAGAGCTTCACATTGTATGTGGTCTTGACATGATTGATGGCCAGCTCGAGCGCTGGCACTCGCAGCTTGGGGCACACTTTTGCAATGAACTTTAGGCGATTGAGCCGCGGTATGTCCGTATAGCGACTGGCATAGGTGGGCAGGTGCATCGATGAGGGTTCGGCCACCATGGGACCCGCGGGCGTGGCCTCTGATTCGACATCCTCTTGGCTGCCGGCCTCCAGCTGCCGCTCTAAACGCCCCCCGATCATTGTGGGGCAGCCAAAACAGTTTTTTGGGGTGGATATATTTATTTTTTGGGTATGAATGATACTGGGGGGAAGTGTGTGCTTAGATGGGAAAAACTGAACGAAAATTTATCCAAAATCAAATCCATTTCCCACTGATTTTTTTTTTTTAGATTTTTTAAGCAACACGGGTCCAATAAATTGCAGCCAAAAGCCACGCATCAATAAACCGTTAAATAGCGGTAACTTTTTCTTATGCTCCCTATGCCAATTTCCTCCATTTTCCTCCATTTTCGTTCATTTTCTCCCGTTTTCGTTTCCACTGATTTATGTGTCTCCTGATGTCTGGCGATTTTTCAAGTTTTTGGTAATTTGATTTTTCTTTGCATATTCCCCCCATACACAACTCCCTTTACCCCGTGCCCACCTCTTTCGTTTGATCCGTTTTTTTTTTATTTTTTTCTCCAATTTGATTTGTATCTACGTAATGGAATTTTCGTTTCTTTCGGACAATCTGCAGATGCAGATGCAGGGATACAGCATACAGGTAGATGTATCCGTATCTGTAGCTGTATTTTTTCGCTTTCTTTTCGATTGCATATTGCTTGGATGTCACACCAGCGGGCGGTCAGACACGTGTGTTACAAGGATTCCTAACGCTTCATTGGAGCTTTGTACAGTGTACACCACCCCCCGCCCAACTGCTGTTTGAATATTTGATTGGATGTTGCAGCAGCAGTCGGTTCTTACTTTTAAATGTAATATGCGACGGCATAAGGATAGCGTCTCCGATTCAATCTGTTATCATATATTTACAAATGATTCATTTTATACATAGGTGCCATTGCTGCACTTTTTAAAGCACACTTTATCGACTGAAAAGTCTCTTTTAACGCGTACATTTTGTTGGCTGGTTGGTTGGTTGGTTGGTTGGTTGGTTGAGGGCGGTGGTCATTGGGCGTGTGAAAATTTGACAGTTTGGATTGATTTGCCTTTGAGCGACAATCATTGACACGACGTTGCTGTAATGGCAGTGCCATATATTCCGAAATAAAAGGCAGACATTGGTATGGCAGAGTGCAGAGTGCCAGAGTGCCAGTGCCAGTAGCTGAGGGGGGGTGAGCGGAAGAGGCCGGGCAGAGGATGTAACCTAACCGAATGAAAAACCAAAATCTCTCGATATTCGACACATTAGTCACGAAAACTGCCAGTAGCATCAAAATTCGGATTCAATATTTCGCAGAACGAAAAAAAAATAAAAACACAAAAACAAAACGCTCAAAAAAGAGAACCAATTATGGGCTGAACATGGAACGACATGCCACGCCCAGTTAATGCCCACTGCCTGTCTACACACACACACACACACACACACACAGAAACGCCCCAAACGCCCCCCACCCACCGCGTTGAAACTTTGGCGGGCGCTTAGATTGCAATTAAAATCGATTTTCCACTTTGATCGGCGCACTTTGATTGCCAAAAGCTGTCTCGCCCACAAGCGGTCCCTGTCCCCCCACCCTGCCTGCCTGACACCATTTTCCAGAGAAAGGGAGGAGTAGTGAAAGAGAGCGCTTTTTGACGTCTATTGTGCCGATTTGTGTCTGTCAACGTCTGAGCCATCGAAACGGTTGGCCTTTGAACAAATTTTAATGAAATTAGAAATTTGCACGCGCCGAGCAAAAATCTGAAAGCGATGCTTTAACCCATCCTGCCGACTCTGAGCGATTTTCAGCATTTCTCCCTCTCCCATCCCTCTCACCCTCTCGATTACATGTCAATTGCGAAACATTTTGTGACTTTGATTGCCCTGGAGAAGGTTCTGTAGTGCGCCTTCCAGCCATCAATCACCGATTGCAGCAGCAGCAGCACCAGCAGCAGCAATGAAAACTCCGAAAATCTCGCTCGCTTTTGGGCTACTTTTTAATCAAAAGTCATACCGAATCGAAGGAAGGAGTAGGAGACAACTGCAGTTGTCGTTTAGCGTGGGAGGCAGATGATGAAAAAGCGCGAAGAGCGGGAATTTCTGTGATGGCAAGGAACGAGGGGATCATCAAAATCTTTCAACATATCACTAAAAACAAAATGCTGCGAGCACAGAAGTTTTAGTATCAAAAAAGCTTTAAAAAATGTGAGAAAATTAAAAAAAAATAAACGAAAGCCAAGGGAAATATATATATGGGTAGGTTTTAGTTTACATAGAATTATATTTATAATAAATAAATTATATATACATACATATGTATATATAATATTATATTAGATTAATATATTTGTTATATTAGATTAATATTATATTATATATTATATTTATTATAAATATAATTCTATATATGTAAACTCAAATTTCGAATATAATTTAGATCTAAAAAAATAATTATCCACATGGAGCAGACTCACCTTAAATTAATGTACTCTCTTTTGTTAGCAATTAATTTGCCGATATCGACTTGTGTTTCCGCTCTTTATACTCGCATAGTTCTTTGCGGCACATTTTCTTGTCTTTATTGTCTCACTCGCAGTTTTACGCTTGCCGCGTTTCACTCTTTATTTAGTTCGATGCGGTACATTCTGTTGTCTTTCGTTTCACTCCCGCACTTTCCCTCACTTTTTTGCCGAAACCGCCTGGCACCCCTCGCCATCATAATGACCATCCTGCACTTGCACATCACTTGTCACAGAGTGAGATTTTTCTGTTCCGCTCTTTCAACAGTTTTGCGGGACATTTTAGTGTTTTTAGTTTTCACTCACTTTAACAGTTGCACTCAAAAATAGCGTTGCCGTCCTGCACGCATTCTCACTCTCTCAACGAACTCAACTCAACAAAACAAAAAACTCAAGCTGCAGGGCACATCACGCCTTGGATGGATGGTCCCGTTATTTAACTTCTCCTTATTTTCACTAAAATTCAAATAACTGTCAATGAGCGCGGGAAGCAGCGCTAAAACTGTGACGCAATTTTCCATTTTGTGGGCCCATTTTATCAATGAAATTATTTGTTTTCACCATTTCTGTGATATTTTTTCAGTTGTTTCTAATCCTTTGGCCCTCCACACACATGGGCTTCCATTTGGCAGAATTTTCCAGCACGTTCATCATTTTTCCTGCTGTTCATAACACTTTTCCATCAGATTTTCTTTTTAAATACTTGTACACTTATCAAACGGGTTTTTTTTAGAGCTCTACGCACATTTTTTACTATTTTTAAGGACTTTTTATTCCACGACTCGAAAAAACGTGCATCTGCGCCAGGAGCTTAAATTTGACTTAGCTCTCTCTCTTCCCACTGCAAGCGGTGAGAGCATTTGAGAGTGGTTTTGCATATGCAATGTACGTGTGTGTGTGTGTGTGTGTGTGTGAGGTTGCTTTGGCTTATGTTTGTTGGTGATGTTGTTGAAGAGAGATGGACAGTGCCGGGCAGGATGAGATCATCAGCATAGAAGAGGTGCATTTAAGACTTGTGTTGAGGGGGATAAAAGTTACCAGCGGATTTGCTGTTGCATTTGCTTTCTGTTGTTGTTGTTGCTGTGCACTCTGGATCTCTGCTGTTGTAGCCTGCCTCTCTATGCGCTGTATGGTGTGTGAAGGAGAGGAAGAGAGTGGAAGTGGCATAGTTGAAGGATTATTCAAGGTGCGGCTTGCCTTCTATGTGACTCTCATATACATGACATTCCTCTCTCATCTATTTTTCTTCCTCCCACTGCAGTGGTGACTGTGATGTCATTTAAGAGAAGCGAATGAAGAGAAGAGAGCGAGTTTTGCTTTTGAAATGTGTGGTTACGGTTGGCTGTAGCCTGTCTATGCTCTGTGTTAATTATTTCAATATGCATGGCTTCTCCAATGTTTGAGGAGTATTTAATTATATTTATATTAAATTTTTGGTACTGCTGGCACGCAGCAAATAAACCCAGACAGAAGGAGCACCAGGAGCAGCAGCAGCAGCAGCTGAATGCGATGCCAAGACAAATGTTGGAAGTTTTTTTTCCCACTCATATTTTTGCTGCCTTTGACGCGGTGCAGAAGGAGGTCGGTCTCCCAGGAGAGGGCAAAGATACTGCTGCCACGCCCCTTGATTCAGGTTGCAGAGGCGTTAACCACACACACACACACACACACACAGCGGGTGAGGGACTAACAGAGAGAGAGAGAGCGAGAGCACTTTCTTGTTGTTGGAGCTAATTAAGTTTGGTTTTTGCGTTTAATGGCAATGCGCTGTGGCCTGAGCAGGAGAGACCAAAAGGAAGGGCAAGGCAGGGAAAGGGAATGGGAAAGGGTTCCCAGCCATCAGGAGAAAGCATCTTCGTCTTGGTGCTTTGTTTCTCCATTTATATATTTCTTTTTGCCCGGGCTCTGGGAAAAACCCTTCAACATGGCCCAAGACTTGGAGATGAAGAGAGCATCTCGTGCTGTCCCTTTCTCTGCTGCAGTTGTAGAAATGGAAAATTATCGTCTTGGTTTTGTCCACTTTGAGCTGACCTGCCCCTCAGCCTTTGTCCTCTTGCAGCACTCCACTGTACACGGTCCATTTTCTCCTTTGTTCTGTGACCCAAGAGAATTCTTTTGCATTTTTTTTTTCCTTACTTTTTCCTGGCTGGTCTTGCAATTAAATTTTCTTTGTGTTCTAAGTAAATTAAAAATTTAACTCAGATTCCATTAACTTCCACTCATCAGTATCGTCGCAAAACAATCCTTTGATTCTTAAAATTTTGTTCCAAAAAAAAATTGCAGCGCTCATTTTAATTTAATCCATTAAACATTTATGGAATAAAAATATATTAAGTCCCAATATATTAAGTCTATTCAACATTTATAGAATACAAATATATTAAATAAATGGTGCGGAGTAAAATCTATAGCTCTCCAAAATGCAAATCCTTCCTCCTAGAATCCTTCGATTCTTAATTATTATTCCAAAAAATATTTGCATCGTGATTTTTCATCTATTAAACATTTATATAATAAAAATACATTAAATAAATGCTGCGGAGCTGCTTTAGCGATCCAAGATACAAATGTATCTGATAGATAAATTTCAGCTAGCTATAAACTCATTAAAATTTAATTTTCGGCACATCTTCAGCCAGTTTGCCATGAAAATATTGCTTTTAAATG